GGACATAGGGGCGGGGGCAAGCAGATGGTCTTATCCTGTCTTGGGGAAGGGGGTGGCCCGGTAAGAGACAGGCCGGACCGCAGCGTCCAAAGTGGGAATCCTGGCTACAAGGCCTCAGGGACACAGGCCCTGGGAAATCAGAGGCGTCTTACGCTCGGAGAGACCCCCAACCCTCCCACGGCACCGCAAGAAAGAGCCGGGGTCCACATGCTGACCCACCGCAGGAGGAAGTACTCACCCGGGCAGAACTCAGTGCTGGGACGCCCACACTGCCCAGCACGCGGAAGCCTGGCACGGAAGTGACTCAGAGACTACCACTCCCATGAGGTCTTGGGGCTTTCTTGCCTAGAACTCCCAGAAGCCCATGCGACAGGGCCGCTGGATGCGCCTGCGGCTCCGGGATCCCGCTTGGCCTACAACTCCCAGAAACACTTGCATTGCTCTTTCCGCTGCTTCCAAAGTACACTACCCTCTGTTTACTTTCTCCTCCTGCGCGCGGGCGCAGGGAGCTGCGGAGCCGCGTGTACTGTTGTCATGGCAGCGCGCTGTCACCAGCAGGTTGCTGGATGGGCGAAGTAGTTGTATTCTAATTAACTGGTTTTGTGGGATTATTATAGGATTTTAAGGGGATTATAGGGCCTATGATTTCTGCCCTTTGAGGCGGGGTTGCGGGTGGGAATTGAAGGTGAAACTGCAGGGGTTGGTCGCTAGTGTGAAAGGCGCAGATGGGGCATCCGCAGAGCAGACTTCGAGGATTGGAGCGGAACTCCGCGCGCACGCGTGGGCGGTGGTGATGCGTGTGCTGGAGACCCAGACTCTAAACATCTAAACAGAAGGATCCAAAGATCTTTCTCACCTAACCCAGGAGCCCAGACGCTCAGAGACTCAGGCCCTTGAGACTAAGGGCGTTAAATACGCAGACCCCTGGCACCAAAGCACCTGAGAGAACCAGTAGACCTGGAGACTACCGTCTGCACCCTAGAGACACAGGGATCTGGAGGCCTCCACCCTCCCCACAAGGCCCAAGGGCCTTGAAGTCCCCGGAGACTCAAATGCCGGGGCACAAGGAGTCTAAGGACTCAGATATCTGATATCCTTGAGACCCGGGTCCCCAAACCTAAGTCCTCAAAAAAACTGAGGCTTTGAGCTCTGTCTCGATGCCTCCCCTACTTTCTGCCCCTTGATCCTCGTCTTATGCATGGCGTCTCTCTTCCCCCATTTACCCCATTTGGGATGCAGCACTTCCTGCAAATGTCACCCTTTTCACCCACGCTGTAACTTCACTTCCTGAACAATGTCTCCCATCATGCCCTCCTTGCTTAGTCCCCTCCCCTCCATCGGCATGACCAGGTCCTTTGCTGTCTTTTTTTTTTTTTGAAGATGAAATTTCACTCTTGTCATCTAGGCTGGAGTGCAGTGGCAGGATCTTGGCTCACTGCAACCTCCGCCTCCTGGGTTCAAGTGATTCTCCTGCCTCAGCCTTCCAAGTAGCTGGGATTACAGGCACGTGCCACCATGCCTGGCTAATTTTTGTACCTTTAATAGAGACAGGGTTTCACCATGTTGGTCAGGCTGATCTCAAACTCCTGACCTCAGATGATCCACCCGCCTCGGCCTCCCAAAGTGCTGGGATTACAGATGTGAGCCACTGTACCCAGCCCCTTTGCTGTCTTGATCATTGCTCCATGCCCCTCCCAGCTTCCTATCTTCCCTCCATGCTGTGCCCCTGACAGCACAAGCCAAGAAAGACCTTCCTGCACTCAGTACTGGCCCCACCCCTTCCTGGCCCACCCCTGAGACTCCTCGGCACCCTCAGTCCAAGCTCCTCAGCTGGTCATGCCCCAACACCTCCACGTCCCCTTGGAAGACCCCAGACATATGTGCAGGTCCCTTCATCTGCCAGGCTGTTTCAGAGCCTTTGCACATCCCTCGTCCTTCACTTGTGATGCCCGTCCGTCATGCGTCAATATGACCCGCTCCCCCTTCCAATCTCAGTTCAGCCTCCTTCCCTCCAGGGTCTGTCAGCTAGTGTGGACTCCAGGGTTTGTGTACATAAGAGCATGAGCTGGGCCAGGCTTGGTGGCTTACGCCTGTAATCCCAGCATTTTGGGAAGCTAAGGCAGGTCGATCACGAGGTCAGGAGTTCGAGACCAGCCTGACCAACATGGTGAAATCCCATCTCTACTAAAAATACAAAAGTTAACCTGGCATGGTGGGACATGCCTGTAATCCCTGCTACTCAGGAGGCTGAGGCAGGAGAATTGCTTGAACCTGGAAGGCAGAGATCACAGTGAGCCGAGATCGCGCTACTGCACTCCAGCCTGGGTGACAGAGCAAGACTCGGTCTCAAAAAAAAAACAAAAAGAGCGTGAGTCAAACCGTCATGTGTCTTCTGTTTAATTCTGAATGGGAGGTAAGGGATAAACTGACCTCTCAGCACCACCCTTCCTGCTTTCTCTGTTTTTTTCATCCAGCCCCAAAGACACTGAACAATGGCACATCACAGCCTGTCCTGGAGGGAGAGTCCCCGTGGTCTGTGTGGCTGACAGCAGCCCGCCTCCCCACCCTGCCCTGCTGAGCGGGTCCTGAGAGGGAAGAACACCGAATTCCTCCCAGCTCTCAGCACCCGGGGACCTGGAGCTGCCTCACATAGAGGCTGGGGATGGAGGAGAATTGACCTGTTGGGCTCATCACCCACTGCGATCTCAGCACATTTCCCTGAGCCTCTGAGTAGAGTGAGTTGCAGGACGGGTGCTGGGGCAGGCAGCCTGGTTGGGTGGTTGGGCTGTCACAGGGGTGGAGGCCTGGGAACAGAATCTCATACTCTTCTACCCTTTCCCAGGAAGCCCCTCTGGTTGCAAATGTGTGAGTGAAAAGGCCTCCTGGCCCCTGGTTCTCACCTGATCAGGCGCCCTCATGGGCACTGGTTTCCCTCTCCCACCCCCATGGCCTCACCTGGGGCTACTACTCCAGGTGAGCAGGCCTGCTCTTTTCTAGGGAAGCTGAGGGATTGGCCCCCGAGTTCCAGGTGGGGCTGAGCTGTCCTGTCCCGCCTGAGTTAGAATTGAAGTGGCCGATGCTAATCTGCGGCCCGTGTTGACTCTGCAGGTGCGCAGGCCTTCAGGGGAGCAGGGCTGAGAGGCCTGACTGAGCCCCTCCTGCTCAAGACAGAACTCAGATGTGGACACCCAGCCCTGCAGGACAGATGCAGGACATCACTGTCAGCCATGGCTCAGCCCTTCTGACCACTGAGATGCTGCAACTTCCCCTCCTGGGAGGGAGTGATTGGGCAAACATGGGGGCCTGCAGTACTCCCGGCAACATGCACAGATGATAAAACTACATAGAAAAGCATGGAGACCAGGTCAGGCGCGGTGGCTCACGCCTGTAATCCCAGCACTTTGGGAGGCCGAGATGGGCGGATCACAAGGTCAGGAGATCGAGACCATCCTGGCTAACACAGTGAAACCCTGTCTCTACTGAAAATACAAAAAAACTAGCCGGGCGAGGTGGCGGGCGCCTGTAGTCCCAGCTACTCGGGAGGCCGAGGCAGGAGAATGGCGTGAACCCAGGAGGCAGAGTTTGCAGTGAGCCGAGATCGCGCCACTGCACTCCAGCCTGGGCGACTGAGCGAGACTCTGTCTCAAAAAACAAAAAAGAAAAGAAAAGAAAAGCCTAGAGACCATTATCGTTAAAGTGAGGCTGGGGCTCCTTCAGTAGAAAGTGGGGGTGTGGCTGACAGGAAGTGGGGTAACAAAGGGGAGGTGCTGCGGTGTCCCCAGTGTTCTGTTTCTCTAAGCATGTTCATGTGTGTAAACCACTGAGATTTTTTTTCTTGGGGGGAAGATATTTTTATCTATATGGCTTATATTTCTCCCAAAACTATTTCTAGAAAACTGACATCAGTCTAAGGAGGCTCCACCACACAGGATACTCCCAGTTCCTCCCAGCCCAGCCACACAATTACAAAAAATCTTCTGTTGAATTCAGGGGCACGTTTCTTCTGTCATGAAATCCTGCCCGTCGCTGAGGGTGGACGCCCCAGGGCTGGTGTCCTCGCTCCACATCTCCTGTTCACCTGGACCCCCGGGAGCAGAGCCTGCAGAAGCAAAGCCCCGGGGCCGGCAGACCCCTGGTGTTCTGGAGTAACCAGGGAAGTGTGGCTGAGCGAGACATCGGTGGTGAAGAAATCCTTCGTGGCGCTGAGACAGCAGTGAGGGAAGGAGAAGTATCTTCCCTTTTGAAATCTGCCCCTTCCCTTCTGGATTTCCTCCCTTCCAAACCCCACAGTACAACAATCACAGTCTCAGTTTCCCAGACCTCCTGCGAGTCACGCTCTCCTCTGTGTCCTTGGCGTGTATCAACAGGCGAAATCCTCACCTCCACAGCCCCGTGTCCCTCTGCTTGGTCCCCCTGAGACTGAACCCCCGACCTAGGGGAGAGTGACCCCATCCTGCCTGTGCCCCCCACTGAAGCTCCTGCTATGGACAGCTCAGAAGTCAGGAGCCTCAGTGTCTGTCCTCTGCACAGTGACTCCTTGGGGACAGTGTCCGGCTCTGCTGTGTTGACCTCATTGTGCAGAAAGGGGGTGCCCACCTCGTACCTGCTGGCAGGGGGAATGAGAGGCTGCCTGCTCACCCCACCTGCACCCCTGTCTCTCATGGCCCCGAGTCCCACCTCTGAGCTACACAGACATCCACAGCCTGTGACTCAGGGGTCTGGCCAGATGGGACTCATTTTCACCCTGCAGAAAATGTCACCTAAGGGGAAGAGCATTGAGAGTCAGGCAGGAAGTGGGGTGGGCCCTGCATGGGGTGGGAATCTGGGCGAGTCTGTCTCCTGCTCTGGCCTCAGGGGCCCAGGAGTGAACATGGGGTAGTGGACGGTGGATCTCCCAGGGCTGACCCAGGCCTGACAGTGTCTGTGTGTGAAGTTCCTCCTTGGGGGAGGTCACTGTTCTGACCTCACCCCTGTCTTCCTGTGGGGCCTCCTGTAAGTCTTGAGCTCTCACTTCCTGAGAGAAGAGCCCTGAGGAACAGACGTTCCCTGGTGGCCCTGGCACCTCCAACCCCAGACATGCTGCTGCTGCTGCTGCTGCTGCCCCTGCTCTGGGGGAGGGAGAGGGTGGAGGGACAGAGGAATAACCGGAAGGATTACCCACTGACGATGCAGGAGTCTGTGACGGTGCAGCAAGGCCTGTGTGTCCATGTGCTGTGCTCCTTCTCCTACCCCTGGTATGGCTGGACTTACTCTGACCCAGTTCATGGCTACTGGTTCCGGGCAGGGGCCCGTACAGACCAGGATGCTCCAGTGGCCACAAACAACCCAGCTCGGGCAGTGTGGGAGGAGACTCGGGACCGATTCCACCTCCTTGGGGACCCACAGACCAAGAATTGCACCCTGAGCATCAGAGACGCCAGAAGCAGTGATGCAGGGACGTACTTCTTTCGTGTGGAGAGAGGAAAGACAAAATGGAATTATAAGGATGTCCCGCTCTCTGTGCATGTGACAGGTAAGGCACGGGCTCCAGGAGAGGCCACAGGGAAAGGTCACGGGGGCGGCAGGGAAAGGCTGGGATGGGGCCCCTGCCCCGGGAGAGGGCTGAGGGTGAAGTGAGTTGGGCTCAGGGCAGGAGCTGGACCAGAGCCTGAGTTCCCCCCAGGGCTGCACCATGGATCCTCCGTCCTGATCCTGAGTCCCCCTCTCTTCACCAGCCCTGACACACAGGCCCAACATCCTCATCCCAGGCACCCTAGAGTCCGGCTGCCCCCAGAATCTGACCTGCTCTGTGCCCTGGGCCTGTGAGCAGGGGACACCCCCTATGATCTCCTGGATGGGGACCTCCGTGTCTCCCCTGGACCCCTCCACCACCCGCTCCTCGGTGCTCACCCTCATCCCACAGCCCCAGGACCACGGCACCAGCCTCACCTGTCAGGTGACCTTCCCTGGGGCCAGTGTGACCACGAACAAGACCATCCACCTCAACGTGTCCTGTGAGTGCTGGGCCAGGACGCCTGGGTCCCTGATGGGGTGAGCGTCAAGCCTGGACACAGGGTGCTGGGTCCCGGAATCTGGGCTGGTTGTGGGGTCAGGAGGACAGTGGCTCTGTCTTCCCTGTTTATGCGGCTCCTGGGGACAGACAGGGCCAGTGTTCCCAGCCCACAGTGATGCGGGTCTCCATGTCTTTCTGTCCCAGACCCCCCTCAGAACTTGACCATGACTGTCTTCCAAGGAAATGACACAGGTAGGATGGAGCCCCCTCCCTGGGGCTGGAGGTGCAGGGCCTTCAGGTCAGGATGGGGCTGGGTTATTCCTCAACCTGAACTCACTTTGGGAAACAGAGATGCCCTTGTGGGTGAACTCAGGGCCCCTCTGTGTCCTTAGGCCCCAAGGCCGCCTGTTCCCATCCTCCCATCACCACTCTTGGACCCCCCACACACACACCTCCCTTCGGCCTCAAACAAGAACAGGGTGGCATTCACACAGCAGGGCCAGGCTCTGAGGTTCCTTCTCATGCATCTCCTGAATACACCTCCACCCTTACCTGTTTATTTCCGATAGTTCTGATATAAGTACTTCTGGACAGGTGATAAATGCCCATGGGCAAAAATTCAAATTGCGGGGCAGAGTCTGTCCTCCGATGCCTGCCCCCTACCCAGAACCAGCCGCTGTCCATCCAGGCTGCCCTGAGCCTTGGTGTGTGCACCTGGAGGATCAGAGGTGGTTTGGCGTCCGTAGTGAGACATCCGCACCCTCCTCTAGGGCTGTGTGTGATTCCGCTGCACGGATGGACTCTGATTTTGTGGCATCTCCTAATGGAAGATCATGGCACTCATTTTATCCTATGGCAGGAACACGGCAATGAACAATCTTGTATCTACTTCCACAGGAATATCTAAGTCTGTGGGTTAAGTTCCTAAAAGCAAAATGTAGCTATGTTATATGTTCACATTCCCGACAGTGGGTGGTGGAAGTGCATGTGTCCAGAATTTCAGTCTATGTCTGCGTGTCAGTTGCTGTCATCAGTCTCTTTCTGTATCCTTTCTTTTTCTCCAGATCTGTGTACTTCTCTGACCCTCTGTCTCTTTTTCTACAGTATCCACAGTCCTGGGAAATGGCTCATCTGTTTCAGTCCCAGAGGGCCCGTCTCTGCGCCTGGTCTGTGCAGTTGACAGCAATCCGCCTGCCAGGCTGAGCCTGAGCTGGGGAGGCCTGACCCTGTGCCCTTCACAGCCCTCAAACCCGGGGGTGCTGGAGCTGCCTCGGGTGCACCTGAGGGATGAAGAGGAATTCACCTGCAGAGCTCAGAACCTTCTGGGCTCTCAGCAGGTCTCCCTGAACGTCTCCCTGCAGAGTGAGTGCACCGGTGTGCTGGGGAGGGGCTGGAGGAGAACACACCTTCTCCACCCTCAGTGACCACTGAGCGGCCCCCTTCAGAGAGGAGCTCCGCTCTGGTCTGTGCTCAGCTGTGAGCACTTTCCTGGGACCCACAGCACTACCGTCCTCTTCCTGTCAGGGAAGGGTTGTGGGGTGGGGAGAGGGCAGGAGTAGATCTCAGAGGGGAGAAGATGGGGCCTGGACAGGTGTGTTTAGGGAGACAAGCGCCTTTCTTTGCAGGGCTGAACTGGAGTCACACAACTGAGGTACTTGCCTTGAGCATCAAATTAAAAAAAAAAAGAAAAAGCCCAACAAGTTAGCAATCAAATGAAATCATACTGCAATGCAATCATCTTTTAAAAACAGTAAAAATTGAATGCAAAACAAATTCATTGATGGATAAAATATTAACATCGTAAAGAAAAAAAAAAAAGGAATGGCTGGCACTTGCACGCCTCACTGGCCTCAGGAAGAGTCTCTCCATGTCCTTCTCTCTCTCATTTCTGTTCTTTGTGTCTGGGAAGGGGAAGTGGAAATAGACGTATAGGACCCTACAGGAAGTGGGAGGAGGAGGAGAAGAGACCCAATTCTCTGTGATATATCACAAAAATAACTCCAATCTGTCAACAGGTAAAGCCACATCAGGAGTGACTCAGGGGGCAGTCGGAGCTGGAGCCACAGCCCTGGTCTTCCTGTCCTTCTGCGTCATCTTCGTTGTGTGAGCATGGACCTTAGGAAGGGAGGGAGAGCCCTGGGGGAGGGCGGGCTGGGAGCTGGATCCCTGAAGCCAGAGCTGGAGGGACCCGGATGGGTCAAGAGCTCGGGGCAAGAAGGAGGTCACAGGTGCATGGTGAGAATTCCATGTGGGCCTGTGTTTGAGGAGCTTTGAGTCTGTGGCAAACCTTGGTACCCACTGTCCAGGAGAAGAGTGTCTCTATTCTCAACCTTGGGGTCTCTAAGACTGGACCACTGCTTTCCCACCTCAGTCACCCCTGCAGTCTCTTAATAGGAAACACATGGGGGGTACCTGGTCTGCCCACTGCACCCCGATCTGACCACACTGAAAGGCTGTCTGGTCTCTTCACTCAGAGTGAGGTCCTGCAGGAAGAAATCAGCAAGGCCAGTCGCGGGCGTGGGGGATATGGGCACAGAGGATGCAAACGCCGTCAGGGGCTCAGCCTCTCAGGTGAGTGCTGTGGACTCTCCACAGCCAGCATCCAGCCTGGACACCTCCCACAGGATGACCCCCAGGACTAATCAGCTGGGCATAGCCAAAGTTACCTCCTCTCTGTTCTTCCTTTCTTCTGTGTAGCCCCAAATTCACAATGTTTGGTTGGTTTCCTCCCGTAAGAACAGCTTGCATTGTCCCTACCCCCATCCTGACCCTTCATTGCTGAGGCCTGAGGATCTCTGTCTTTTGCTCCCTCACTTCCCTGCCTGTCACCTCTCCTTTCCTGACTGGGGGGACTGTCCAGAAGGCATCATCGTCCAGTTCCTCTGCATTTGAACAGCTGTTCCCCGACCCCTCGATACCGTCTAGAGCAGAAGCCAGCAAATATTATCTGTAAGCGACAGATAGAAACTATTTTTGGCTTCATGGGCCACACAGTCTCATTGCAGCTCCTCGTATCTGCTGTTGTAGCGAGAAAGAAGCCATATACCCTGTGTAAAGAAATGCATATGGCTGTGTGCCAATAAAACTTTATTCACAAACATAAAGAGTGGGCTGGATATAACTCAAATACTGTAGTTTGACAACCCCTGATCTAGAGTAAAAATCCCAAACTCTATAGCCTGCAGCAGTGCACATTTTGACCTTTTTTTTTTTTTTTTTTGAGTTGGAGTCTTGCTCTGTCGCCCAGGCTGGAGTGCGGTGGCGCGATCTCTGCTCACTGCAAGCTCTGCCTCCCGGGTTCAAG